GTGCTGGGGCTGCTCTACCACGTGCTCGTGACGTACCGGCGCACGTACCAGGACAGAGAGGATCTAACCCCCAATCCAACTGGACCGATCTTTCCCTCTGCTGCTCCCGCGCGCAGGATCGCGTAGGAGGGGGAAGAAAGATAATGAAGGAAGAGAAGGAACATGGAGGAGGAACTGGAGGAGGAGGAAGAGGACGAGGAGGAGGGTTCCAACGTGCACAAGCCAGTGCCAGACGAGGACGAGCCAGTGACTCTTGCACATGGGCTGCGGCGACGCTTTCCCAAGCTCACTGTGGCGCTCAAGGAGGCCAGAAAGCTCCTGGTGAGGCGCAGTAATCCGAGGCGGGAATTTATACACGACCACCGCCTGGAGGGTTAGTTTTCGGAGCCTCGGCAGGCGGTGGATATGGACATGTTTTGGGCCCCCAGGGGCCGAAATATATCCATGTCCACCGCCCGCTCGGACACCAGGACGTCGGTTCCCAGGCGGTGGATATGGATAAATCCCTGCCTCGCAAGGAAGGCTGGAGACTTCCAAGGGCCGCTTGATCGCAGGCAGCCGCGTTGCTTCCAAGAAGCGACGGGACAGACCCAGGACCCGGCCAGCTCCGACCCGTCCGAGCCACATCCCGCGGGTCCCCAGGCGGCCCGACTAGGCTCCCGAGAGGGCCCAGGGGGCGACTCTAGAATTCAGTCGGGCGTGTCCCTCAACCTTCAAAAACAGTAACTAAACAGTCGGGGGAGGAGTCTCGGAGCATGTTGCATTTGGCGTCCCACGTCCCCCTGCAGGGGGACATGCCCGACCCAACTCTGGAAGCCCCCAGTGCGCTCCCCAGCATGTTGCATTTTGCGTCCCACGTCCCCCTGTAGGGGGACATGCCCGACCCAACTCTGGAAGCCCCCCAGTGCGCTCCCCCAAAACGATTCTCGTGGGGGTCTCGGGGGCAGAGGCCTGCCTCGGCCGGGCGGAGGGCACGCGGCCAGGCCGACCTCGGCCGCCCGAGCTCTCTCTCTCTCTCGGCCTGGCCGCGCTGCGCCGGCCGAGAGCCCGGCTGGCCCGCTCCCGCCCAGGCAGTGGAGGAGGAGGAGGAGCGTGAGGGGGAAGAGGAGCGTGAGGGGGAGGAGAAGGAGGAGGAGGAGGAGGAGGAGGAGGAGGAGGAGGAGGAGGAGGAGGAGGAGGAGGAGGAGGAGGAGGAGGAGGAGGAGGAGGAGGAGGAGAGGAGGAGGAGGAGGAGGAGGAGGAGGAGGAGGAGGAGGAGCGTTGAGGGAGGAGGAGGAGGAGGAGGCGGAGGAGGAGGAGAGGAGGAGGGAGGAGGAGGAGGAGGAGGAGGAGGAGGAGGAGGAGGAGGAGGAGGAGAGGAGGGGAGGAGGGGAGGAGGAGGAGGAGGAGGAGGAGGAGGCGGAGGAGGAGGAGGTGGATCTTGGAGGCCTCTTGGGGGCTCTCTCCCGTCACGTAGCCGTTCCGATCCTGCCGGCAGCTCTCGGATTGCGCGCGCCGCCCGGGCGCGCCCTGGCTGGCACCTCGGGCGCGGCGCCGGGATCCGCCCCGCCCCCGCTGTCATCGGGCGGGTGCCGCTGCAGGCCGCGTCCTCGCACCTCCCCCTCCCAAGCCCGCTGGCCAACTTCGCTGACCGCTGGCTCCCTTCAGGAGGGAAGAAAAACGCACAGACACAAGTAATCGTCGATTCCGCAGCAAATATGGGGAACTATGGGACGTGGGGGGGAAGACGAAAACCCCCAAAATATGGGAAGATATGGGGAATTGTTGTATTTTTGTGTGTATTTGTTTGTGTGTCCTGGGGCCCCTTCACCCCTCCCCGCCGGCCCGGGCACTGGTGGCGCTGCTTCCTCGGAGGTCGCCGCCGCTGCCCGCAGGGCTCGCTCTTCGCGCGCTGGGCCGCCCCCCGCGCCTGGCGGTGCGCCCCGTCGGCCCCGCTCCGCCCAGGCGACGTCCGCGCTGCCCGCGTAGGGTCGTGCGCAAGCGCCCCTGCTTCCAGTGTGGCGTGCCGCGCCGCAGAGGGTCGCCACGTGATCTCGCGCAAGACCCGCTTGCCGTCGTCGCTCGCTTGTTCTCTTCGTGAGGTCGCCGCCTCCCCCCCATGGGCGCCTGCGCCCGACCCTGCCGTTTCGGGTGGTGCTTCGCCCCCTCCCTGCGGCTGCCCGCTCCGCGCGTCTGCGCGCAGGGGGGCTCCCCGTGGGCGAGCCTTGCGCTCCTCGCTGGGGCTCCTTGGGAGGGAGCGCGAGGCTCGCGCTCCGCCCGTGACTCGTCTTCTCGGCTTGGCCCGACTCCGCCGCGTCGGTGCGCGCGCGGCCGCGACGCCCAAACGTCAGGTCGGGCATATCCCCTTACAGAGGGATCTTGGACGAAGAATGGAACATATTCCAAAAGTACTAAACATATTTCCCCAAAAATCCGAAAATCATCCACAGACTATGTTTTTGACTATTTTTGAATGTCCCTCCTGTAGCGGGACGTGCCCGACTAAACCCACACGTGTATGTGCTCCCTCTGGTCTTTGTGAGCGCTGACTTGTCGCTTAGAAATAATGTTCACCTGTATACTGTGCCTGCAATCCGCCCAAGGAAGAAGGCAGGAGATGAACACCGGGACCAGTAGTCCCCACCAGGGATCGGGGAGACGCCTTCCTCCGTGGAGTTTCACGCCCCGCCCCTGACTCTGCGCGTTTGCCCCCTGGAAGGCGCCTCGACGAGGGCTGCAAGAGCTGTGACAGTCCAAGAAAGCCCCGAGTACGTTCCCAAGATGACCACACGAGGCACGGGTACTTCCTGCGATTGACGTCTGCTTTGTTGATTGTTATATTTTATTTTTTAAGTCTACATCGGGCTTTACGATGTAATCATCTTGGGGTCAGCCTTGGGAGGATCCCGAGGCCACTCAGCGGCCTCCACAGCACACCAAGAGGCCCCAAGATGCTCCAGTTGCAGCCCAATTGACACCCAACACGGTACTCCCAGGAGCACCCCAAGGGGCGTCAAGAGGCTCTCAAGAGGGCTGGATGACGCCCCGAGAGACATCCACAGCGGCCCTTACGGGGCCAAAAACAACCGCAAAGGGTACAAGATAGTTCCAAAGGTCTTTTCCATATTTGTTTTAAGCTCGCTGGGGTCAGTCATGCAACACTCTTCGTATTTGTTTTCGAGGCTCGTGGCTTCCTATCTGCTTGGCGAACCATGCAGATTTGCCTTTTCTAAAAGCGACCGATTAGCTTGAGCGCGCAAAGCGTACGCGCGCGTGGTTCTACTTCTGTTTTGTTGCGACAGAAATAAATCTTTAAGCACAGTCTTAACTCTCAGCGGGGGGGGGGTCCTAGATGTTGCCGCAATCAGCTTTCCTGACTTTGCTGTATGTGTTTGTTTGTAGCGTTCAGTTTCCGCATTGCGCTTAGATTCGGCGAAGTTCCCATAGCTCATTCTTCGAATATCAGCCTTGATTTTATGTGTATATCTGGCTTTCGCATGATGTTCAGCCCTCACTTTCAATACTGAGTGGTGCTCGAACGGCACCAGGGTCATAGTGGACACTCGGAGGCAGCACGTGACCAAGCTGGACGGCATGGTCAAAGCTTTCTGTTCAGCTTTCGCGAAGTTATGGTGGACACTGCGAGGCACCATGTAAAATCTATGACTTGAGCATCTGGCTGTATATGTAAGCCGGTATGAAGCTCTGACTTTGGATTTTAGCTCCAGCACTGGAAGTAGATCTCAGCTTTGGCTTTTGGCTTTAACCTTCAGCTTCCAACACTAGATCTTGCTTTAGACTGATCTTGAGCTTTTTGAGATAAGTTTAGCCGCGCCGAGAACCTTAAGGGACGTACAGAGGCACCAGGACCCACTGGCGGGAGCTTCAGTGTTCTTAGCTCTAGCGACACACCAGCGGGAAACACTGCTGTCCAGCGTGCTTGACGTTTGCGATGAATTTGGTAGGTAAGAGGCCTTCAACTTTGATTTGTAGCTATAACCGCGGCGTGTATCGTGTTTTTTTTTTTCCGCTCAACTACTCGATTTCGGCTCAGTTTTGATCTGCAGGTATTGCTTGATTTCGATGGGCGAGGGGCAGAATCGACCGTCAACCAGGGCACAATCATACACCATCGGGACAGCATCGAAAGAAAATGGGGGCTCCACCGAAGGTCAATCGGAAAACCATCGGGGCACTATAGTGACACCGTAAACGAATCGGGACACCAGCGCCAGCGTAGAAATCATTGGGACGCCATCGAAGCTCATACGTATGGGGCACCATCGGCACATCATCGACGCACTTTGTAATCTGGTCAAGACTTGTCGGGGCACCTTCGGGAACCCTTTGGGAACACCGCGACGGGACGCCTCAGGACACCCCCACCCAGCGCCCGCTGGGCAGCAGCAGCGCACGTAAGGAGGAGGAAGACACCGCAGCCACGCGAGCCTCGGCAGCCGTGGCGTCCGCGCACAACTTCGCACGCGCTTCGACGCTGGTGGTTCGTGGATACTTTTTTGGGTTGTCCCCCCCCCCCCCCCCGCCTCCCGCCCCTCCAGGGGCCTCCAGGGGGACTCCTCGGACCTCCAGAGACCTCCCGAGGGCTCTGGGGGCGTCCCTGGAGGCATGCCGCTCGGCGCGAAAACACGGTGTCCCGGTGTGGCGGCTTGACAGAAGTGTTCGCCCCCCCCGCCTCCAAGTGGACGAACCACAACGTGACGTTATTGTTTCCTCTTCAGGGCACGCCACTGCAATAACAGTCATGCTTCGGCGTATCGGTGACCAAACCAATGCGGGGCGTGCCGACATGACATAAGAACCAGCGAGCCAGCACAATGTCAAATACACCACACCGTAGCGCACAAATGACACAGACAAGCAGCACACCATAATCAATGTCAAGAGTACCGTACATGAAGAAGCCGCGAAATTATCGACCAGCGCGAGAGCTTTGCCACAATCAAACCATCCCGCCCGTGCTATTCATGCAAGATCTAGTCCGGGTAGGGCTTTCTACCCAGGAGGACATGGACTCGCTGCCAGTTCTCCCAGTGGTCATCGGTTCCTTCGTGCTTGCTGCCATCTTCCACGCGGACATGAACTCCCGCCCGATCTTCGACACCCTCTGGATGGCAGGGCTGTTCGTTGGCGTGTTCTCCGTCCTGCCGCAGCTCACCATGGTGGCGCGCACCGGCGGCGTCGTCGACGCGCTGACCAGCCACTACATCGCGATGATGGCCGTGAGCCGCGTCTTGAGCGGCATCTTCATGTGGCACGCGCGCTTCGACGTCACCTGCGCCCCGTGGATCGAGGGCGTGGACCACGCCATCTGGGCGATCCTGGTGGCGCACGCGGTGCACCTGCTCCTCCTGGGCGAGTTTGCGTTCTACTACGTCAGGGCCATCTGTGCGCAGGGCCTCGCGTGCAAGGTCGACCTGCAGGCCGCGCTGGACATCGTCTGAGAGGCCCGTCCCCAGCAGCGGGGCCGGCCAGGGGCGCTCGCAGTCGAGGCGCCCGTCGCGGCCAGGCGGCAGACTATTCCACGCACAGCGGCACCACGTCAGCCCTCCGGCCCTCGGCCAGCGCCAACCAACCAGTTCGCCACACGCTTCGGATGTGCTGGCAGGCGCAGCAGCGCGCATCAAGCTGGTCTGGTCCGCGGTTGGCGTCGTCCATGTCCTCCGTCCTCTCTTCCCCCTGTCCCCTTCGTCTCCTTCATTTTCTTCATGGTTTGAAGCCACCTTGGGGGAGATGGCCCTTGCCCTCGCCACTGCATGCGCAGCGTCTTCCACTCCTTCCTTCGGCCCACTATTTCTTTCGATCGTTGGTCTGTTCAAGGTTTTACCGATGCGGCCATTCGATCGCAGCATGTCGTGTGTTTTGTGACCCCGTTGTGCTCTGCTTCTCCACGGCGGCCACATTTTCCATTTTGTCAGTATGGTACCTTGCATGTTCTACGCTTAGTTGGTTGCCCCTGTCATCATACATATACGTGTTCTTATCTTCTGTTTTCTAGTGGCCTTCGGCCCACCCCGCCGCTGTGCCTGTGTCGTGGGTCAGAGTTCTCAGGGATGCTTCTTCGGGTCCCTTCGGGGCGCTCTCGGGGGCCTCTTGGGAGCCTCTTGGGGGCCTCTTGGGGGCCCCTCGGGGGCCTCTTGGGGCCCTCTTGGGGGCCTCTCGGGGGTTTCCTAGGTGGGCCTCCTGCCTTCATACGTCTGATGTGCTTTCTTGTTCTCGTTCTTCTTCTTCTCCTTCTCCTCTTCAACTGAGCTCCTCCGAGCGGACAGGTGCCGCCGCCCCACTTCCTTTGGGCCTGGCCTCTTCTGTCAGGAAGCAAACGGATCGCGCACGGCTGGAAGTTGCGGGGGGGGACGGAGGAGAACCCAGAGGGGGCGGAGGATGCCAGGGAGGACGAAATGATGCCGGGAGGACGGAGGAGGGAGGTCCAGGAGGGACAGGTGGAAGCAGAGGTGGGAATGGAAGATGGGGGGGTGGCAGGTGGAAGATCCGCAGGAGGAGAAGAGGAGGAAGAGGCGGAGGAGGATGTGGAGGAGGGGGTTGGCTGAGGAGGATAAGGAGGAGGAAGAGGAGGAGGAGGAGGAGGAGGAGCAGGAGGAGGAGTTGGAGGAGGAGGGGTGACAGGAGGATCGGCAGCAGCTGGAGGAGGAGGAGGAGGAGGAGGAGTTTGACGAGGAGGAGGGGGGGGAAGACAAGTGAGGTGCGTGGAGGGTGATGTGATGGTTAGGGGCTTGTAAGGAAATTGGAAGGAAGAGGGTGCAGATGGGGAGGATGAGGGGAATCAGGAGCAGGGGCATGTCCAGGTGGGTGTTCAGTTGGAGGAGGTGGAGGAGCAGGAGGATGAGGGCGGCGACGACGACCACGTCGTCTACGACGGCAACGATGATCACGAAAACATGGACGACGACGGCGACGATGACGACGACGAGAAACTCGACGACGACCATGATGACGGGTTTGGCGCCCCTGAGGGGACAGGCACTGGCGGCCCACTTGTTTCGAACGTGGTCGCTGTGATGCAAAAGTAGCCAAGTGGGATGACCATAAACAGACTATGGGAGGCATGGTGGAAGCAGAAGAGGGCCACGTACAGAGGTGTCCAATACGGCCCCAGAGGGCCGGAGTACTTCCAGAAACCGTCCAGGAAGGGCCCCAGGAGGCTTCAAAAACGGGTCGAAAAACACCAAGAGGAAACCATTTCTTGATTGCTTGGGGCATGTCGGGCGTCATGGCCCCCGCTCCCCCCCCCCCTATGACGTAACGCTCCCCCCCCAGTGCGCTCCGGGCTCTGCCGCCGTGCACGCTGGGATCCGCGTAGGTGTCCGCGTAAGAATCCGCATAGGAGTCTGGTCCGGAGTCGTCGTCGTCGTCGTCGTCGTCGTCGTCGTCGTCGTCGTCGTCGCCGTCGTCGCCGTCGTCGTCGTCGTCGTCGTAGTCGTCGTCGTGGTCGTCGTCGTCATCACTCGTGGCTCGTCGCTCATCGTCGTCGTGCGCACGGACGCGGCTGGAGCCTGTTCTTTGTTCCGGGCCGATCGCGGCAATCATCTGAGGGGGTTTGGACGGGGTCGATGACATCATGGTTCGCGCCGGCGATGTTTGGGAATGCTGAGGAATGACGGAGGACGGGTAGCACCAACATGTAGGTGGCGATCTGCACCACGACGCCTGTGTTCACCACAGTGCCTGCGTGCACCACAGCGCCTGTGTACACCACACTGCCTATGTACACCACGGCAGCCGCGTGCAACACAGCGTCAGTTTGTGCCACCGTGCTCGCGGGCACAACAGCTGTTGTGTACACCGCAGCGCCTGCGTACACCACATCAGCCGTGCGCAACACAGCACCAGTGTACACCATAATGCCTGCGTGCATTGCAGTGCCTGTGTGCACCACGGTGCCTGTGTGCACCACAGCAACCGTGTGCAACACAACGCCGCACTTGCATATCGAATGGTAGAAGGAATCCGTATGACAAAATGGAGCGCTTGTGGATTCCACAAAAAACAATACAAAGGAATCCTTATGGACAAAGGAGCGCCGCTGTAATCTAAGAGTTCCCCCGAGTCCGCCCGCATTACCCTAACTTCTCCCATCGTCGTCCAGGAGGCTCCAGCGAGATTGGCCGTGCGAGAACCAAATGGACCGATTCAATCGACCATTATGCGGTGCACTGCGCGCTGAATTGCGCGCGTGCGCTGTAGCGCCACCCCGCACGACAGGCGGTAAGGAGGAGGAGGAGGAGGAGGAGGAGGAAGAGGAGGACGAGGAGGAGGTGGAGGTGGAGGTGGAGGATGAGGGAAGAGGGAAGAACGTCGCATTCGATTACCAGCACTGTCCTGCACGCAGGCACTGGTGTACAGTCGCGCTGCGTTGCATGCGGATGTTGCTGTGTAGACAGGCGCTGTGGCGTGCACAGGTGCGGTGCACGCAAGCATTGTGGTGTACACAGGCGCTCTGTTTCTGCGGTGTACACATATACACCCGCGCTGTAGTGTACGCAAGCACTGTGGTGTACACAGGCGCTGCGTTGCACACGGTTCTTGCGGTGTACGCATGTGTTGTGGTGTTCGCGCGCGTTGTGGTGCACGCGAGCGATGTGTACAAAGGCGCAGTGGGGCATATCGCCACCTACATTTTGCTCGCGTCGTCCTCGTCGTCGTCGTCGTCGTCGTCGCTCGTCGCTCGTCGCTCGTCGCGTCGTGCGCGCGGGCGCGGCTGTGGTGCCGGAACCACACGGCGGGGGGGGGCGTTACGTCATACCCCCCCCCACCCCCCATGACGCCCGTCATCGCCGAGCATGAAGAAACGCTCCCAAGCTGTCCCAAGCGGCAGAGGAAGCAACAAGAGGCAGACTGAAGTGCAAATTTGGCATCGTAACATAGTCTTGACCCTTCAGATGGGCCTCCAGGGGGGCCACGAGGTGTCCAGGACGGCTCGAAGGGCTCCAAGAGGGTGGCCAGACGGCTCTCGGATGGCCCTAGAGGCCTCCGAGAGATCCCAAGGTGGCCTAAGAGGTCCCAAGAGTGTCGCAAGAGACTCCACGAGATTTCCAAAAAGCGACATTGAATTCCCGAAGCGGCCATCATCATCAAAATCCGGTGGGTTCTTGGAAGCTGTTAGTTTCGTTCCTGGTTTTCGGCTCAACATGACTCGAATAGGGCTTGAGAAGGTTCCGGGACGGCCCGAGAGGGCGCCAACAACGGGCCAAACTAGCCCACCATGGCCCCAAGAGGCCCCCAAGACCGTTGGGAGGGCCTCCGGAGAGGTCCCGGACGGCGTCCGGAGGCGTCCAGAAGTCTCCCGTGCGAAGACGTGCTTAATTTTGGGGGGGCACGCACAGGACGCCCAGCCTGCAGCCAGGACCTTCGGGACGGCGGGACGAGCAGAAGAACCCAGGTGGGGCTTCTGGAGGGTTTCTCCGGAGGGCTTAGGCGACCCGTCCTCCTCCTCCTTCTCCTCCTCCTCCTCCTCCTCCTCCTCCCGTCCCTCCTTCTCCTCCTCCCGTTCCTTCTCCTCCTCCTCCTCCTTCTCCTCCTCTCCCTCCTCCCTCCTCCTCTCCCCCCTCTCCCTCCTCCCTCCTCCTCATCCTCCTCCTCTCCTCCTCCTCCTCCTCCATCCACTCCATCTCCATCTCCATCTCCTCCACCTCCTCCTCCTCCTCCACCTCCTCCTCCTCCTCCTCCGTAGCCATTTTGGCTCAAGCCGTTTGCGCCGAAGCCGATTGCGGCGGTGCGCAAGACGGCACAAACCAACACTCCACAAAAGATTCTTTGCTCGTGCCAGTTGCGCGCGAAACCTCAAATTCCATGGACTTCTCACGGCTTCTGGTGCTTGCGTTGGTGGGCGTCGTCGATGTCCGCCAGAGCTTTGCTATCCGTGCTCAGAGCGGTATGTCCAGTCGCCTTACGCCAGAGTGGATTGAAAACGTGTCGTTCGTACTCCCCATGAGGGGTATACAGTATCCTCATCACCACACGGCCGTCGTCACATTTGCAGGCAGGAAGAACGCAGAATACCTCGATGGGGCGGTGATGCTGGGCATGTCCATCCAGAAGTACCTGCCGGAATACGTCAGGGTGGCCATGATCATTCATGGCATGAACTCGAAGAACCAGCGCCTCCTTAGAAACGCTGGGTGGAAGTTGGTCACTGTACCAGACAAGGAGTATTGCGGGGAAGGCTGCGAGCAGGAGTTTTTTGGGGCGTTGGCATGATAGTTTCGAGAAGATTAATGCTTTCCGCTTGCCCTTTAAGCGGGTGTTGTTCATGGACTCGGACACATACATTTTTAGGAACCGCGTCAATTATTTGGTGTCCGAATTGAAGCTGCCCACCGTTGACCACATCGCAATGGCGAAGGACGGCTGCAAGGACGAGTTCAACAGCGGGGTGATGGTCTTCAAGCCGGACCTCGAGGTCTTTAAGGCGATGCTAGTCATGCTCTCGCAGCGCCGGCGGGAGCAGATCCTTGACCAGACCCTGATCAATGATTACTACAAAGGCAAGATCTTCCCGATCGACCGCATGTTCAACTGCGTGGACACGGTGGGCATCCAGCCAGGCCAGACAAAGCCGTGCGAGCACCACTGCAGCAAGAACGCCGTGATCGCCCACTTCACTGGCCATCCGAAGCCCACCTCCGCAAAGAGGCGGCTGCTCGAGCTCGTGCGGCGTCCTGGCGCCCCCGCTCTGGCCTGCATGCACACGAACTTCGGGTCCTGCGGGAAGTGGTCCGAGTACTATTGCGACATCCGCAGGTACAGCAGAAGACTCTCGACAGGGCTCCAGGATCAGCTCAAGAACCGGGGTCCTGCTGCCACCCGCACTTGATGACAGGAAGGGAGAAACAGAAGGCTGCCAAAGGGAATAACTTCGAGACCTGCCAGGAGTGCCCTGCAACTTTGAAGATGTGGGCCCCAAACCCCCAATTGGTTTCGCTTGCGGGCGTGTACGTGAAGACCTCTCTCCCGTCCCGGAAGTTCAACGGCGGACGGCCCATTTACCTTAACATGGACAGCGACTGGAGACGCGCACCAGTGTATCTGTTTTTCATGCAGCAGACTATGACCTGGGCGCTCGGGGCAGACTACAGAGTCAATTATGCCTTTGGGTTCGCTGCCATGGAAGCCTAGTGCCCCAGGGATACAAAATTCTGGTCCTTCCACAACGGGACGGCCTGCGTGAGGAGCAAGTTCAACATCCAGGCCCACGCCAACGGGGCGAACGCCCCGAAGGACACGAACCACATCGCCTGGAACGTACACAAGCGCGCGTGGCAGCGCGAGACGATCGTCTGGGAGGACGGCCAGCTGGGAAAGGCGACCGCGAGCGGCGAGGACGACGCGGCCGCGGGCGGCCTGGACGCGGGGCAGAACGCCACCGAGGGCGAGGAGGCGGCCGACGTCGGCGCCGAGAACGCCACGGCCGTCGGCGCCGAGGAGGACGACGGCAACGCCACAGAGAAGGGTGATATTGACGCAGACGAGAACGAGACGATCGAGGTCGATGAGAAGGGTGACAAGAACCTCACCGAGGGCGGTGATATCGACGCGGACGAGAAGGAGACGACCGACATCGTTGAGAAGCATGCGGAGACTGCGGTCGAGAGCGAGGATGACGAAGCCCCGAGTAGCGGCGAGGATTGAGACTGCTTGGCCCAGACGTCGTGAGAGAGCGGTTGGGATGCTCGTGGAGCTCCTCCTCCTCCTCCTCCTCCTCCTCCTCCTCCTCCTCGGATCGCCTACGGCCTTGGGGCATTCCGTGCAGGGGCATCTGGGTTTCTGAGGGCTGGGCAAATTCAATCCTGCAAACTGTGACGCGGGGATCGCACACATCGTGCTCAGTGGGACGGCGGATCGCTTCGCTCATTCCGCTGGCCCATCCTGTACGTAGTGTGTCAAGACCTTCGGCCAGTTGGGGTCCCGGACAAGAGGCCTCTTGCGGGCGGGGCGAGGACGCGGATGAATCTGTGCCAGAGCGTTCCAGAACGCCCCCACAGCGCTCTGTAACGCTCTGAGAATGCTGCGGCGCCCGAGACATCCTCCAGAGCCGCCGGATCTCAGAGATTTCCGACTTATTCTCACCCGATGTCATCCTTGTCCCGGCTTCGTCTCATTTTTTTGAAGGCTTAGTTGGGTCTTTGCGGAAGCGACGGCATGTTGGGAGCTCCTGGGCCTCTCGGGGGTCTCATTGTGGCAGCTTTTTGAGTCTCCGGGGGCCTCTTGGGGGATTTCTCTGGCGGGCCTGCTGGCGGGCCGAGCGCCACCTTTTGGGGCAGGCTCGACATGTGAGCTTGAGTTTCCTTTCGTGTTGTCGAAGACGATCAATGGAGAGGAAGTATATGCAACATATTTTCCAGGTGTTAACACATGTGTTAGACGTGTTTCAAACATGTGCATCTATGTTTTAAGTTTCTGTTACATCCATGTTCTTTTCTTAAGCACATGCCAACCTATGTGGGGTTAATGATCGGACTGTAAGAGTGTCCATTGTCACGGCATCCAGAACCCTCTTGGGGCCTCCTGGGGGCCCTCTGCAGCTCTGTGGGCTTGCCTGGTTCTCAAGATGCGGGAAAGTTGCCGTGCCGTGTCTGGCCGAACCTTGCCTTCAAAATGCGGAAAGTGTGCGAAGGCACAGCGCTGGGACGTAGACCCACCTTTACCCTCCTCGACCACCGCCCCCCGACATCAAACCCCCCACCATTTCAAATTCGCGTTTGCGACCCCTTACGCAGATCTTCCCCCCCACCTCCGCCAGCCGTCGATTGAATCGCGTTCGCACATGCGGAATCAGATGTAGCAGGCGTGCCAACAGGAACCCCAGCGGAAGATGGCCGTGCCGTGCCAGCCGACCATGTGTTTATCGCGCAGCATTGCTGTTCATCATGCAGCACCGGCTTCGATGCCAGTGCGTTCTTACGTTGGCCTCGCGGCCTGTGCCGCGGACCCCGGGGACCCCCGCTGGCCGCCCCCCCCCGCGGGACCCGCCTGGACCCGAGGGGGGGGCGGTCGTCTGACCCGCGACCACCCTCCCCCACCACAGATGGGACCTCCCCCGGGAGCCCCCTCTCCAGGACCCCCCCCCCTGCAAGGGCACTCCCCCCGTCCATCCTGCCCACAGGGGGGGGGGGTGACTGAGAATATCAGCGTTAGCAGCAGATCAGTTGAGCAATTCAGAGGATCAGTAAATGATCAAGTGTAGTATCTGTTCCGTACGCATCAGGGCTCAGGGCTTGCGCAGTTCAAGACTAAACATCTCAGTTTGGTAGCGGAGCTGGAGTTCAGCTCCAGCTCCAGCCTGCCCCCATCTCGGACAGGGCTCGGGCGCGCGATAGCGTGCCTGCCGCGCGCCGCCAGGCGCGACCCTTCGTCACGACGAAGAACTACGACACCGGGCTGAACTTCGGCCCGCTGCGGATCTTCAAGAAGATCTGTTCGATCTACCTGTTTTTTTAAGTTCTTCCTCACACACTTCAGCGACGCCTGTGGCGTCTCCTTCTACTCCTACTCCCAGGACTACGAGACGATGGCGACAGGTGGTGGTGCAGACTGGAAGCTCCCGAGTTCACTTCCTGAGTTCACCAGGTATGTTCCTCCCGGCTGGAAGCCGGGCATGCCAGACTACACGTTCAAGCACTTCCTCGAACGTCTTCATCTCTGGTGGCGTATCACGCCCATTACTGAAGAGGAGGCCGGCCCGCTCGTTGCAAGTCGGCTTCTCGACAAGGCGTTCGAGGTGGCCATGAGCTTGAAGGTGACTCGCAACGGCGTGGTCATCAGTGGCGATGCGGCTCTGGCCCTCGGCAAGGAAGATGCAGTGCTGGACCCCGCTGGAGTAGAGCTGCACCCTGCCAGTCCAGCGGGAATTGGTCACCTCATTGCGAAGCTCACGGATGCGTTCGAGATTCACGATCAGGACAGGCAGGGTGAGATCCTGGACAAGTTCTGGGATACACGACGCGGATCCTCCTCACTGCAAGACTACCTCCTCAACTTCAAGCAGAGGTTCCAGGAGGCTGAGAGCAAAGCAGGATTGCAGTTGAACTCGACAGGCCTCGCGCACCTCCTATTCAAGTGGAGCGGCCTTCCGGCCAGAAGAATTGCAGATATCCAGCTTCATCACAATGGAGACCTTACGAAGTTCAACGAGATCTACAGTATGACCAGTCGGATCGCCAAACAGGAAATGGCAGCAGGCGGTGGGCATCACTCAGGACACTACGGAGCGTTTGAAGATATGGAGCTGAACGATGATGACTACAATCTTTCTTTCTATCAAGATGAAGATCAAGAAGAATATATCGACTTTGTATTCGACGAAGACACGGACCTTCATTATCGAGAATATGCGACGGAAAAATGGAGAATGGCGATATGGCGCCTATGACAGCTACTGGAATTGGTATGATCAAGATGAGATAGAACAATACCTCGACGAGCTTGACCTCGAAGAAGCATATCAGATGAGCGGCGTCAGACCAAAGTGGCGATGGAATGGACGACGAAAAGGAAAAGGAAAATGACGTTTTCGTAGCAAAGGACGAGGTCGAGGCTACAGTAAAGGTCGAGGACGTGGACGAAAAGGCAAAGGCCGTGATGATGATAAGCGCTTCTCGTCGGACACCTCGTATGGCGGTAAGAAAGGAAATGGCAAAACAAAGAGCAAGACGGACAGCAACGGCTGCAGTGTCTGTGGCTCTAAGTGGCATCGTGATCAAGATTGTCCAGTTGGCCTTCGTGATCGCAAAGGAGACAGCGGCGGCAAAACGGGAGCGGGTCTCACACATACGTGGCATCACAACTTCAGTGGACATTATCAGGACCAGTATGATGGCGACCTTCCCGATATTGCTCTCGCAGTTGGACATTCCACAGAGACCGCGAAGCAGCCCAACTGGGACTTCAACACCAGGACGGAGCAGGACTACGAAGACGGTGGCCTGTACGACGACGACGAGTACGAGAGGAGGCCGAGGAAAGGAAAAGGACGCGGAAAAGGAAAAAGAGGCAACAACGGCAACAGAGACAATCGGAGCTCCTTCTCATCCTCATCCACAGGTTCCTGGAGGCCTAAGTCCGATGCCGGACAACCACTGTGGATGGCTGGCAACTTTGATGCGATTTCGGAAGACAGTCCCTCGACAGGATCTTGGAGCGTGCTTTCCTCAGCGACATCTCCTCCTCCAGGTACGTGGCATCAGGCTGATGACGGACCTCCTGTTCAGAAAACAAGCTTCAGCGACATGGTGAAGCCGATGAGCACCAAGACGAACATGAACACTGGCAACATCAGCGGCATCAGCAGCTCATCACAGCTCTCACCAGGACAACAGCCTTTCAGTTTCCAGAGAAGCCGGTCAGAGCTCAGACGGACACCTCCTGGCAGCACGACGCGGATAACGATGTGACCCACTCGGGTGTCAACAAAGGTTCTCTATCTGACCTCTGGAAGCCGCATGCCAGCCTCTATGCGATCAACAACGCGTGCTACCCAGCATCGAAGGCAAAGGGCGAGGAGATGATACTCATGACCAGCGTACGCGGAAAGCAGCGTCTCGGTCTGATCGTGGACCCGGGCGCGTCGAAAGGCTTGGGCGGTACCGAGACAGTACGAGAAATATGCGATCACCTGTTGTGGCCAAAAGGTCATGATATCACACTGAAGGACTCGCACTCGAAGTTGTCAGGTATCGATGGCAAGCCCAGTCCCTCGCTCGGCCTCGGCACGATTCCGCTCAACCTGAAGGCATTGCCCAGGAGCTCGTTCACCATGGATCTCCTGGGAGGTTCAGGCTCGAAATGCCCGTGCCTTCTTCCGAACGAGTCGATCATCGAGCACGCCGGGTCCATGTACGCCAACGTTCTGCCAAACAAAGATGGAGTTCTGGTTATCAATCATATCGGAGCTATGGGCAGAAAGGTTGCACCTACCTCGTTCCTGCGTATCTGGTACACGGACTCGGGCCACTATCTTCTGCCTATCGACGACCCTCTTGCCAATGCCGGCGAAGAAGCGACAATATTGCGACAAGCGGTAGGGGACTACATGGAGTTCATCTTCGACACCAACATGACCACCAAGACTGGCGTCAACACCGCTCTGCACTCGAGTCATCCTGGAGCAGTGCTTGGCGAGGACGCAGCTCGGACTTGCCACGGGTCGGGACCCCCTGCAGCGTGCGCCCCGAGCGCTGTAGGGTCGTCGTCGCCACACATTGTCGTCGCCGCAGTTGCTCGGACATTCCGAAACGGCTCGGAAGGACGCAGCTTGAACCCAGGATGGACGCAGTGAGACGGCAACACAGACGAGTGACATCCAGTCGACCTTCGACAGCAGCACTTCAGAAAGTAGAATGAGACTGAGAGAATATCAAGCAGACAAAGCAGATCTACATGGAGGTCGACCTCGTCATGCTGCCGGAGTTGGTTCGAAGAGCACGCCTCAGCAGATACGTCAAATGTTTTACACACGGTGGAACACATTCAATGGAGACAAGTGGACTGGAGCAAATCAGTGGCCTTCTGCTTGTGACCGTGACGATGTCAGTCTTCTGGAAAAGAAATACAAGGCAATGCCCGAATAATTTTATCATCAGACTCAACTGCCTATCATTACACCGCACAATGCCATGCTCTGGGTCGACCACATGAAGGGCTTCAAGCTACATCTTCAAGAACGTATGTCAGGAAGTTGTCGTCTTTCTTTCAGATGCATGCGGCTCG